ACAGCGGCAGACCACTGTAAGCCAATCAGAAAGCAGGATTGGGGGGGGGGGGTGTAAGAGAGGGAAGATTACTGAGGATAGAAGAAGAAAGACAGAGGAGGGTTAGAACTACAAAACAGAGAAGAAGAGTCGTGCCCCTCCTCCGTCTGCTTCCTGCTCCACCTGTGGGCCACCCTCACCCTCACCTGTCCTCCTCGTTCCAGGACGAGCCCACGACCGGCATGGACCCCAAAGCTCGCCGAGCGCTCTGGAACTGCATCCACAGTGTCATCAAGGAGGGACGCTCCGTCGTCCTCACCTCACACAGGTAAGACCAACATGTCCACTAAGAGACAGACACACCTGAGGACAGGTTGATGTTTGTGTCTTCAGATAGTGAAGATTAATACCTGTCCTCACATGGTGTCCTCAGTGTGTATATTAACGGTGTGTATATTAACTGTGTGTGTGTTGCAGTATGGAGGAGTGCGAGGCTCTGTGTACCAGGATGGCCATCATGGTGAACGGCAGGTTCAGATGTCTCGGCAGCGTCCAACACCTGAAGAACAGGTAACACAGATACACACTGTACACACACACACACATCTCCTGTGAACCTGAAGCTTGAACTCTTCATTTGACCGATGTGAGCAGCCGGTCGTTATAAATGATGGTTTTGTCCGTTAGGTTTGGTGACGGGTACACCATCATCCTGCGGGTGGCGGGGCCCGACCCCGACCTGCTGCCCGTCATGAAGTTCATCGAGAGCGAGCTGAGCGGCAGCACGCTGAAGGAGAAGCACAGGAACATGCTTCAGTACCAGCTGCCATCTTCCCTCACCTCCCTCTCCCACATCTTCTCCATCCTCGCCAAAAATAAAGTGACGCTGAGGATCGAGGACTACTCAGTCACTCAGACCACGCTGGACCAGGTAAAGACACAAAACACGCACCTGACCAGGTACGCACTCTCTCACCTGTCAGTCCGTTCAGTTTCTGTGTCCAGAGTTCAACCAGACCGGAAAACACAGCTGGTATAACAGAAGTTAGCGTAGCCGCCGTGATGTCCCCCATTGGTTTGTGGGCCGCCGTCTGAAGCCTCCAGTTTGGTATTTTGGCCGTCACCATCTTGTTTTTTGGAACCAGACGTGACCATATTTGGACGAGAGGGTGGAGCTAGCTAGCTTGGTTTGCAAGGTGCATCTGTAATTTGACCCTTCGCTAAGCCAACCCCCGAATACGCAGCTAGCCAATCACAGCGCAGTATAGGACTCGCTCTAACTGAGGTCCGACACTTTCATGGCTCCATTGACTCTAATGCAACAGGAGGTTTCTTCTGGCTGTATTTTTCTAAGATCTGGTCAAACTGGTCCTGCAGCATCTTGTAATAGTTACAGCAGCTACCCAGAGAGGCTGAAAGGAGAAGGACGATTTATTCTCTTTCCAAAACCTGAAATAAATCCAGAAACATGTCGGCTGTGGATCGTTCCTGATGTTAGTTAGCTGACGATGGCTAACTTCCTACTGAATGTAACGTAATAAAGTCCTGCAGACCAGCTGTACAGGAACACTGTTGATCCTTCACATCAACGTCCTCTTTCTCAGTAGTCAATAATAAAACAGTAGTTTACTTTTACTCTGTGATCAGTGGGCTTCAGCTTCTGTCTTTCTTTTTTTCACGTCAGTCTGAGAGCCTGAATACAACCTTTGAATGCACACTGCAAAACTGTCTGCTTCTTTCTGAGATCGCTTAGACAATATTTCACCGGGTAGTAACTAAGGGGGACGTGGCTTAGTGAAGGGTCAATTCACATTAGCTGGACAAACAAGCCTAAAACAAAACGTACTTCCTGAAAAATGAGCAGCCGACTCCTGATGAGCTTTTTCAGCGGCGCTGGTTAAACGTACACAGAGCAGCGGATACGAGTCGCCTCTATCCTGATTGACAGGTTGTCAATCAGCTTGTAGCCCCGCCCTAAAGCCTCCCCTGCTTCCTGGTCTCTGTTCCTCTAAACGGGACCATAATTTACTAAATGAACATCATGCTGTGTTGAAGAAGACTTGAAACTAGCGACTGAGACCAGAAACTCATCAGGAAAGTGTTTACTGAGGGAATAAATCAGCTGACAAGTAGAAACATTTTCTTTCTGCAGCCGCTGGAGTCGCCCCCCGCTGGCTGCTAGAGGGGACGCAGGTTTAAGGGTTCACTCTTTAGACCCGGAGGTTCCTGCTGTGGCGACACTTCACGGCCTGCTTTCATCTTCAGCTCTCAGCTTTATCAGCTGTTGTCTCCGAATAATTGATCGTCACGTCGTTTTCTTTGTTTCTTGTGTTTCAGGTGTTTGTGAACTTTGCTAAGGACCAGAGCGACGACTATCACTCCAAAGACAACTCGGTGAGACGGAAACACGTCTCCATCGAAGTTCCCACGCTGAGCTCGAGCCGAGGAGCTGCTGAGGGGGGGGGCGCGCTGAGGGAGAGCGTCATGTGATCAAGTTCGGGAGGCTGAGAGGACGCCCCCTCCTCACCTGTTGTGATGTCATGCTGATTTGAATACTGTAGACGGAGTCACCTGCTGCCTCATGCCAGTCAATGCAGATGATTTCCTGTGGCGCCGCCGAGCCGCCCGCCGCCCGGACTGAGTGTTAGAGAAACTTGAATATCCGCCTTCAGGTTTTATCTTCTGTGATCGAAGCGTTTGTTCGGAAGCAACGATGAAGAATCCAAATCATTTCAAACGGCCGAGGGCTCGACTGCAAACATCCGATTCTTAGAAAACGTCTGATTCCGTTTTTATTGTGACTTTTATTTATATGTGTAGATGAAAGAGTGTCATTACTGTTTCCTATAGCGTTTAACAGCCAATCAAAGTGCTCAATGCAAAGTGCTGCACGAAGAAGAGTTGATTCATTTTCTAGTTTTTTAAAGAAAATAAAAAGGAGCAGATTTGTTTGTGTTGGCGTGAAGCAGTGAAATACCTCAGCTCCTGAAAGCACACTACAGTATTGAAGCTGGAACCAGCCGATCGATCAGTTCTCCTTCTCATGTTGTGATTGTTTGATCAGAGAGAAGGAGCTTCAGCACTTTGTGTTCACGCCGTCAGTTCGTCTTTGCACTGTTTTATTCTCTGATCATCAGGTCTTTAATGTGACAGAAGGCTGAAGATGAACTGTTACTGAACCACACGCAATAAAAAGAAACCAGTCTGCAGAGTCGTCGTCTCCTCTTTCATTCAGTCTTTAAAGGAAATCGTAAAGTTCATGTCTAACTCATGTTTTCCTTCTGCTGCATTTTATCAGAGTGAAATCTGAGATCTGAACAATGTGGACAAAGCAAAGCCACACTGAGAAATTAATCTGCAACAGCAAACTTTCTGAGGACGTGTTTAAATGTTCACTGACGACTTATTTCACCAGTTTCCCTCCCCGATATCAGATGTTCTGTAACGTCAGCTGGGCGTCACTTCAGGTTTACGACACTGTTCATGTCAGAGGGGGATCCAGGTCTGGGTTCATCCAGAAAGGTCTGCAGGGACTTGAGACATGAAACACAAGGTGATTATCAACCCTGAACTGAGACCACGGAGAGACATTAAGTGAAATATAACGGTAACGTCAGCCACTGTCCTCTTTCCCCTCTGACTGCTCACCTGCATCTCGCTGTGAAAGCTGCCAGACGTTGTAGAGATTTCTGCTGAAAAGTACAGTTTAAAAACAAAAATCTTTTTCAGAATCAGAAGGAGCTTTATTGCCGAGGAGACACACACTACACGCAGACAGACATACAGCTGACATAGATGTAGAAATATATAAATATGTAATAAACAAATGCAAGTTATGTAAGAATAACAGAGAAAAATAATACAACTGACAATATAAAAAAACAAAAACAATGGAACAACAACAATTTACAATTAACAAATATGTGCAAGGTCCCAGGTTCGTGCATGATATGACATGAAGTGAAATTTACATGTGCAGAGACATTTTTATTATTTGAAAGGGGGGAGTGTCAGTGGGGGACCCGGGTCTTGTTAATGAGGCTGCAGACGGATAGAAGCTGTTTGTGGCGAGAGGTTTTGGTGCTGATGGTCCTGGAGTCAGAGACATGTTTTCCCAGCTTCAACGTGCTGCTTCCTGTCCGTCAGGAAGTCAGTGATCCACCTGCAGGTGGAGTCAGGCACGTTCAGCCGGGAGAGCTTGTCCTGCAGCAGGGCCGGGATGATGGTGTTGAAAGCAGAGCTGAAGTCCACAAACAGGATCCTGGCGTAGGTTCCTGGGGAGTCCAGGTGCTGGAGGATGTAGTGAAGGGCCACGTTTACTGCATCATCTACAGACCTGTTGGCTCTGTAGGCGAACTGCAGGGGGTCCAGGATCTGGTCTGTGATGGATTTAAGGTGGGACAACAGAAGACGGTCAAAGGACTTCATGACCACAGAGGTCAGAGTGACGGGTCTGTAGGCGTTTAGTCCAGCGGTCCTTGGTTTCTTGGACACAGGGATGATAGTGGAGGCTTTGAAGCAGGCTGGCACCGGAGACAGCTGATCAGCACAGTTCTTCAGGGTGGATGGGGAGACAGAGTCCGGCCAGCTGCTTCGCAAGGTTTCTGCCTCCTGAACAGTCTGACGTCCCTCTCCAGGATGTTAAGAGAGGGGCGGGAGGTGGGGGATGACATTGGAGGTGTAGCTGAGAACTGGTGTTGTCTCTCTGCGTACAGCTGTTTAGCATCTCGCACTGCCTTGCTAAACCTGTACTTTGACTCCTTAAACCTAGATGCAAAACCCAAATCTTAGAATCAAGAACACAGAGTGGATAAAGGAGACAAGATAACAGGACAAAAACAGACAACAACACGGCAGAGCTCACCATGAACAGATTGGACAGAACCCCAAAACACAACAGACCCAAATAACAAATAATCAAGCCACAGTTTTTATTTTACCAACATTTCCTCACTTGTGTTTCACTGTCCACGTTACTTTAAATAAAACATGATCAGAAATCAATACACTGATGACAGAAGAAAAATTTTCATGTCTCATTTATTATTCAGTCATTAGTACATCAGGCCCCGCCCACGTCCAACATCAAGACCACAGGATTGGACGCTGCTGCCGTCAGTCAGAGACTAAATCTGAGCATTAATGTTTCTCATGATGTGAAATCAATAACGAAGGACGGCGGCAGGAAATCCATGCTGAGCTGTAATTGGTTCATCCAGAGAAAGGGGCGGTGCTTATAGTCAGTCAGGTGCAGCAGGTAAGGATTAGTTTCACACAGGAAGTTACTTCAGCGGCGAGAAGGAACACGGGAACATGAGTTTGTTCTCCTGAGAGTCCAGATGGATGACGCTGTTTCTGACTGAGAGAGAGAGAGAGAGAGAGAGACATCTGTTAGTGTTGATTGGTTATTGATCGATTTATTACTGACAGCTGCTGCGCTCACTTCAACGCTCAGTTTAAAGAGACAGGACGTGCTGAAGGATGAACTCACAGGATGAGCTCTACTGCAACGGTTCTGTTCACACTGGACCTGTTTCTAATGGAAAATCTGTAATCTGAAAAAAAGTTAATCTAAAATGAACCTAAAGTTAATCTGAAATTAATCTAAATTTAATCTGAAGTTGATCTGGAGTTAATCTGAAACTGATCTGGAGTTAATCTGGAGTTAATCTGAAATTGATCTGGAGTTAATCTGGAGTTAATCTGAAGTTGATCTAAATTTAATCTGAAGTTTTTCTGGAGTTAATCTAAAGTTAATCTGAAATAAATCTGAAGTGAATCTGAAGTTAATCTGAAGTAAATCTTGAATTAATCTGCAGTTAATCTAAAATGAATCTGAAGCTGGAGAGGCAGAGGGAGTTGAGGGTGGGCGGAGTCTCACCTGCAGCGACCACTCTGGCGTCAGTGTGCGCTTTGTGTCGAACTTCAGCTCGCTGGTCAGCGCTCTCAAACCACCAGAGGGCGTGAACTGACAACACACAGTGACATCATCAGCACACACACACACACACACACATACACACAGTAGGCTTGTTTGAGATGAGCCAGCCGACTCGCTGCATGATGGGTAGTTATTCTGTCCGACTTGCTCGGAAAGTCTCGCGTGCAGTTTTGAGCGCTACGACGCAGTTTCTGTCCGTGAGCTTGATGGGAAACAGTGGTCGGTTTAACCCTGAGGAGTTTACATCACCGATCGCTGCTCGGCATTATTCCACAGTGTCGATGAACCTGAGAACTTTTCTCTAATAACATGAACTCGTGCTCTGTGAACACAGATCAGACCCTCTGTGCAGGACTGACTGGTCTCTTCATTCAGGTGCTCCGTCCCTTAAATAAAGAAAAGGTTTAGCTCCGCTTAGCTACGGTCTCCAGGTTGAACAACACGTTACTTCGAGCGTTAGGTGGGCGTGTCAGAGGTGTTAAGCCTGATTTATACTTCTGTGTTCAATCCATGCCGTAGCGGTGATTGGTCGGCTTGGTAGCATTTCCTCTGAGCCCCCAGGAGGTGCTCCATGCTCTGAAGCCGAGCAACGTTTCCATTTAAACGCTTTGCTACGTTTTGTCGGGGCTGAACGTGGCGAGCTGCCGCTCATCTGAAACAAACCAAACAAGGTCACCTGTCAACATTCAGAGCCGACAGGTGAGCAGCAGGTCAGGTTAAAGACGGGAGGGCAGGAATGTTAAGTCTGACACCGTGGACACAGACATTAAACGCTGGACGGTGGAACTGGCAGTGCAGGAGGCCCAGAAGGTTCTGTGGAGAACCTTTCAGCAGGTTCCCCAGTCTGAGGAATCTTTTCTTGGCTGGTTATTTTTTACAGTGTACCTCTGTTAAGCAGGCCAAACTCGCTGCTGAAAGCTCCCACCAGCTTGCCGTACCCCGGTGCATCATGGGTGGTGACGGCAGCCTGGAAGGCGTTGCCCCAAACCGCCGGACCGCCGGGATGCATCTGGAAGGAAACCAGCTCGTACACGCCTGCAGCACACCCGGAGTTAGAACGATGTCACTGAATGTAGCTACTGGGTGTTTACAGTGTGGGGGCGGGGCTTACCACCCTCCTGTGGGGGCTTCTGCAGGTGGCTCCAGGGAACCAGGTAAGTGACCTCGTTGTCCTGAGATGTCAGCATCGGCATCGCCTTGGAGATGTACTCTGAGATCCAGGAGGGGTCCTGAGCCAGGGCTGCCCGAACCGCTGCTCGCTGAGCGTAGCTGTCTGAGGAGGAGGTCAGAGAGTTTTAAAACCTGGCGATGAAGAAGAACCTTAAAACAGAAGGAGAACGTCCTCACCATACTTCCATATGTGGAAGACCTTGTTCAGGCCGCCATACTCTACGGTCCAGTAGCCAATCAGCTCTGAGTGGGCGGTGCGCAGGTGGATCTTTTCATTGGTCAGTTTGAGGAAGGCGGCATTCTGGTCTGGACGGATGCTGTAGGTGCGGAACTCATAGAAGGTTGTGTGTTTCTGCTGGGGGCCAGTAGAGAGGCGCACACGAGGCTGCAGAGAGTGGGGAAGAGGGCAGAGGTCTCACTCTGACAATAAAACAGAGGACCAGTCACCCGGCTCAGAGTCCGGTCATCCACCCGGACTGCAGAAAGGACGGGACCTGGAACATGAAGACCTGAACAGCAGAGCCTCCCTGCCAGAGGACGTCAGTCTCTCACGGCTGAACACATTAAACAGTGAAACACTCGACGCTGCGTCAAATTACACAAACTGGCACAGGGTTACACTGGTTACACTGGTTACACTGACACAGCACAGTGCAGTTTGGGCCCTGGTACTGGTTCTCCAGGTCCATTCCGGTTCCTGCTGCCACTTGGTGGTCAACATAACCCCCTACAGGTGAGAGATACCTGCCTGTGATTGATTCTCAGTCTGATCTGCTGTTAAACTAAAACTTTTCACAACCACCACCTGTACAGGTGACTTGATGGACAGATTTTAAACCTGATCACTTCTGTGGTAGAGATGAAAGGAAGGGAAGACAGTAAAGCAAAGAGAGCGTCAGCTTGTATTTTCTCTGCAGGGGCCCCTCAGCTGCTGGTTAATCTTAAACTGCAGGTTCTCCCAGTCCAAAGATCAACAACAAACCCTGAACCTCTAGACACGAAAACCTACAATCAGGAACAGAGCTGTTTGAGTCTGCAGAGCAGAGGGGCGTTCAAAGGCTGAAATTATTCTTTCTCTGTGGAGCTGCTGAGAGCAAACAGGACGTTTACTGACCTGTTACAGTCTGCAGCAGCTCTCAGCTGTGGTTGGTTTAGGTCTGGTTGTAGTGAGTTTAAGTCTGGCTGTAGTGAGTTTAAGTCTGGCTGTAGTGAGTTTACATCTAGTTGTAGTGAGTTTAAGTCTGGCTGTAGTGAGTTTACGTCTGGTTGTAGTGACTTTACGTCTGGCTGTAGTGAGTTTACGTCTGGCTGTAGTGAGTTTACGTCTAGTTGTAGTGAGTTTACGTCTGGTTGTAGTGACTTTAAGTCTGGCTGTAGTGAGTTTACGTCTGGCTGTAGTGAGTTTACGTCTAGTTGTAGTGAGTTTACGTCTGGCTGTAGTGAGTTTACGTCTGGCTGTAGTGACTTTACGTCTGGCTGTAGTGACTTTACGTCTGGCTGTAGTGAGTTTACGTCTAGTTGTAGTGACTTTAAGTCTGGCTGTAGTGAGTTTACGTCTGGCTGTAGTGAGTTTAAGTCTGGCTGTAGTGAGTTTAAGTCTGGCTGTAGTGAGTTTACGTCTGGCTGTAGTGAGTTTACGTCTAGTTGTAGTGAGTTTACGTCTAGTTGTAGTGAGTTTAAGTCTGGCTGTAGTGAGTTTAAGTCTGGCTGTAGTGAGTTTACGTCTGGCTGTAGTGAGTTTACGTCTGGCTGTAGTGAGTTTACGTCTAGTTGTAGTGAGTTTACGTGTAGTTGTAGTGAGTTTACGTCTGGCTGTAGTGAGTTTACGTCTGGCTGTAGTGAGTTTACGTCTGGTTGTAGTGACTTTACGTCTAGTTGTAGCGATTTTACGTCTGGTTGTAGTAAGTTTAGGTGTGGCTGTAGTGAGTTTACGTGTAGTTGTAGTGAGTTCAGCTATGGTTGTAGTGAGTTCAGCTATGGTTGTAGTGAGTTTAGGTCTGGCTGTAGTGAGTTTACGTCTAGTTGTAGTGATTTTATGTCTGGTTGTAGTGAGTTTAGGTGTGGCTGTAGTGAGTTTACGTCTAGTTGTAGAGATTTTACGTCTGGTTGTAGTAAGTTTAGTTGTGGCTGTAGTGAGTTTACGTCTAGTTGTAGTGAGTTCAGCTATGGTTGTAGTGAGTTCAGCTATGGTTGTAGTGAGTTTACGTCTAGTTGTAGTGATTTTATGTCTGGTTGTAGTGAGTTTAGGTGTGGCTGTAGTGAGTTTACGTCTAGTTGTAGTGAGTTCAGCTATGGTTGTAGTGAGTTCAGCTATGGTTGTAGTGAGTTTACGTCTAGTTGTAGTGATTTTATGTCTGGTTGTAGTGAGTTTAGGTGTGGCTGTAGTGAGTTTACGTCTAGTTGTAGAGATTTTACGTCTGGTTGTAGTAAGTTTAGTTGTGGCTGTAGTGAGTTTACGTCTAGTTGTAGTGAGTTCAGCTATGGTTGTAGTGAGTTCAGCTATGGTTGTAGTGAGTTTACGTCTAGTTGTAGTGATTTTATGTCTAGTTGTAGTGAGTTTAGGTGTGGCTGTAGTGAGTTTACGTCTAGTTGTAGTGAGTTCAGCTATGGTTGTAGTGAGTTCAGCTATGGTTGTAGTGAGTTTACGTCTAGTTGTAGTGATTTTATGTCTGGTTGTAGTGAGTTTAGGTGTGGCTGTAGTGAGTTTACGTCTAGTTGTAGTGATTTTACGTCTGGTTGTAGTGAGTTTAGGTGTGGCTGTAGTGAGTTTAGGTGTAGTTGTAGTGATTTTACGTCTGGTTGTAGTAAGTTTAGGTGTGGCTTTAGTGAGTTTACGTGTAGTTGTAGTGAGTTTAGGTGTGGCTGTAGTGAGTTTACGTCTAGTTGTAGGTATTTTACGTCTGGCTGTAGTGACTTTACGTCTGGTTGTAGTAAGTTTAGGTGTGGTTGTAGTGATTTTACGTCTGGTTGTAGTAAATTTAGGTGTGGTTGTAGTGATTTTACGTCTGGTTGTAGTGAGTTCAGCTATGGTTGTAGTGAGTTCAGCTATGGTTGTAGTGAGTTTAGGTCTGTAGTTGGTTAGAGTGAAACTCACCTGAGCAGCAGCAGCAGCTGGTGAGACCAGGACAGCAGCTGATCTCAGTGAGGAGCTCCTGAACTTCAACATGTTCAGAGTGAAGTGACAGAGAGCAGAGCGAGCTGCAGGAAGTTATTGGCAGCCAGAGATCCTCTATGACGAGAGGTCTCACTCCACAGAGAGAGAAAACGTGAAGAGTGTTAACACAGCAACTGGGAACCAACTGAACCCACACATGTGTAAACAGACAAAAACTGTGATTATGTGCAAAACACTGAAAAACAGCAAAAGACACTTTTCAAATGTTGAAACTGAGAAATTTATTGTTTTTGGAAAATTATGCTTTTTGATGCCAGCAGCAGGTTTCAGAAACAGAAAGGAAAAGAGCTGAAAGGAAACAGCTGGTGGAGCATCTCAGATTAATGAGGTGAACTGGCAGCAGGTCAGTAACATGATGAGACATAAAGAGTCTGTCTGAGGTAAAGATTGGGGGTAAAGATGTTTCTCAGCGTCAAACTGCAAATAATCTGGGATTTAAGCGGCAGCTCATCATCTCAGTAAAATATTCAGAGAACCTGAAGAAATCTCTGTACTCATGGGTCAAGGCTGAAAACCAGGACTGGATGTCTGTGACCTTTGACCCTCAGACGGCATCAGAACCAGACCTGATTCTGTGGCGGACGCCGCTGCCTGGGCTGAGGAACACAAACCATCATCTCTGAACTCAGTCTGTTTCTGCGTTCACAAACTCAAGATGAAACTCCACCGAGTAGAGAGGAGACCGTCTGTAAACCAGATCCAGAGACGCCGTCTTCTGGACTGAGGCTGAGTGGAAAACTGTCTTCTTATTTCAGCAGGACGAAGCCAAACCAGGTTCTGAAGCACAGCTCTGCAGGAGAAGGGTCCGGGTCCTGAACTGGTCTGCCTGCAGTCCCCCACTGAAAATGTTTCACGTATGATGAGACGTAAAATACGACACAGGAGACCCCGAACTGATGAGAAATCCTGCATCGGACAGGAATCCAGGTGCCAGCAGTCGGTCTCTTTAGGTCCCAGACGCTCAGTTAGAAGAAGAGCTGAAGCAGCAGAGCAGGAAACACTGAAACCTGCTGCTGCAAGCAAATTCTATCAATTCCTTTGAGCTGTTAAATCTGGAGCTGAGGACTCAGACAGCCATATGAGTCTGTATGAGACAGTTTCAGGGAAAATTATTTATATTTAATAACAACAGCGTGATCAGTGTGAAGGCAGGAAACATGTTTATTCCACAGATGTTGAAGTTAAACTGAGAAACTGCTCGGAGTGAGACCTCTGTCGTCATCGCCTGGAGCGGAAAGCGTGTGTGACGTCACAACTCTTGCGTATTCTCAGCGTTTCTTATTGATCACGTTTGATTTGATCCTGCCACCTTGTTTCGATCCTGAACGTGTCCGCGTGGCAAATAAATGTTTGTTAGTATTTTTTAAAAACAATTTTCGTTCTTTAACAAAATAATAAACAAAATGACGCGTTTCACGTCACATCCGTCCAGGAAGTTGGCGCAGGCAGCGTGTGCGTTTGCGGAGCTCCAAGGTGAGCTCGGAACATGTTGGCGGTGTTTGGGGTGAGTGTCCGCCGGGCGGTGTGGAGGGGGGCTCGGCTTCATCCCCGCCGTGTCCCCGCTGCGGGCTGTGCGGGGTCTGCGCCGGGATCAGGGGCCGCGGCGGAATCAGACCCGGGATCAGGGGCCGCGGCGGGTCGGGGTTTGTCCCGGCAGCTCATCAGCAGACACGGGACGGCAATCCGGGGCTGCACGGTGGACCCGAACCTGGAGGAGCAGTTCGTGTTTGTGGACTGTACAGGTGAGACACGGAGACCCGGACAGGTACAAGTACTGAGTGAAGGACACGTAGCCCGCCAAAAATACTGCACAAGTACTATTCAGAGTTTTGTGACTTTACTTTATTCTTTTAGCTGCACGAGATTATTGATTGATTTAATTGATTGGGATCCTTTATAGGCTCACAAGCACAGCTGGATCACCAGGCTGGAAACTGGCCCCGGACCTGCAGGGGCCCTGAAATGTCCCCAGTGTTGTGGGAGCCTCTGGTTTTCATTTGATGAATTTGTCTTTGTTTATGGAGCCTGAGCAGTGATCAGCTGATAATAATCAATAAGCAGGTCTCATAAAGGCCGATCAGGTGTGATGTCACATGACTGAACCCGAGAAAAATTGTCTCCAACTTTGGGCTTCGCTGCAGACGCGGCCGCAGTGGGAACCTGGTCAGTCATTCAGTCATTGATCTCAGCTCACGCAGGTAGAATGTGTCCGACTTGACGGTGCCGCATTTAGACCCCGCCCCCTGCAGTCACCTGCAGCTCACGTAAGACCATCAAATCAGCGAAAGTCAGCCGCCGTCATCTCGAACGCACCTGAACATGAAGGACTTTCAGTGACATCACCACATGTAAAACCCACAGTGCCTGCTTCTGATTGTTCCGTGTTCTTCTCTCCTGGTGCTCAGATCCAGATCCAGATCCGGATCCAGACCCCCATCAGGAGGAGAAAGACCTCCTCCAGCTGAGCCACTCCTCCTCCTCCCCTCCTGCTGCTCCTCCTCCTGGATCTTTGGCAGATCAGTTTCCTCCTCAGAGACACCTGAGGTCTCTGGAGCGCCAACTGCAGGTGTTGAAGGGCGTGGCCCAGAAGGAGGCGGAGCCTGACTCTCTCATCCAGTTCCACGACGTGGACTTCCCGCTGGACGACGGCTTGGTGGCGGCGAAGACGACAAAGAAGAAGAAGAAGACGGCGGGGAAAGGTGAGCATAAAGTCTTCGGCACTCCGGACCTGGACGAGCCGGTCAGTGACTCCTGCTGCTCGGGCTGCGGCGCCATCCTGCACTGCACCGCCGCCGACGTCCCCGGATACCTGCCCAGTGAGAAGTTCAAGGCGCTGCGTGAGGAGGAGCGTCTGAGCGGCGCCACCTGCCAGCGCTGCCACCTGCTGACCCACCACCACAAGGCCCTGAGCCTCACCATGTCTGCAGACCAGTACCGGGCCGTGGTGCGGCAGGTCCGCCCCCACAAGGCTCTGGTGCTGCTCATCGTGGACCTGCTGGACGTCCCGGACTCCATCGTCGCCGACCTGCCAGAGCTGGTCGGGACCAACAAACACGTCGTCGTCCTCGGCAACAAGATCGACCTCCTGCCAGGAGATTCGCCCAACTACCTGCAGCGGATCAAACGGCAGCTCGCTCAGTACTGTCGGGACGCCGGGTTCGGCGGTCAGGTGACCGACGTCCACCTGATCAGCGCCAAGACCGGGTACGGCATCGAGGGTCTGATCACCAGCCTGCAGAGGTCATGGAGGTACAAAGGGGACGTGTACCTGGTGGGCAGCGCCAACGCGGGGAAGTCGACGCTCTTCAACACGCTGCTCGAGTCCGACTACTGCAAGTCCAAAGGTTCTGACGTCATCCACAAGGCCACCATATCGCCGTGGCCCGGTGAGCACGCCAGACTCCATTCACATTTCTGTTGGTTTGATCTTAATTAGTTAGAATGAAATAGCAGAACGAACAAACTGACTGACTATAAAGATGATTAAAACATGTACACTGCTCAAAAAAATAAAGGGAACACTAAACTAACACATCCTAGATCTGAATGAGTGAAATAATCTCATTAAATACTCCTTTCTTTACATAGTTGAATGTGCTGACAACAAAATCACACAAAAATGATCAATGGAAATCAAATGTATCAACCCATGGAGGTCTGGATTTGGAGTCACACTCAAAATCAAAGTGGAAAACACTACAGGCCTTAAAACAAGTCAGAATGAGGCTCAGTAGTGTGTGTGGCCTCCACGTGCCTGTATGACCTCCCTACAACGCCTGGGCTCCTGATGAGGTGGCGGATTGTCTCCTGAGGGGTCTCCTCCCAGACCTGGACTAAAGCATCACACCATTACTGACCCACCTCCAAACCGGTCATGCTGGAGGATGTTGCAGGCAGCAGAACGTTCTCCACGGCGTCTCCAGACTCTGTCACGTCTGTCACATGTGCTCAGTGTGAACCTGCTTTCACCTGTGAAGAGCACAGGGCGCCGGTGGCGAATTTGCCAATCTTGGTGTTCTCTGGCAAATGCCAAACGTCCTGCACGGTGTTGGGCTGTAAGCACGACCCCCACCTGTGGACGTCGGGCCCTCGTACCACCCTCATGGAGTCTGTTTCTGACCGTCTGAGCAGACACATGCACATTTGTGGCCTGCTGGAGGTCATTTTGCAGGGCTCTGGCAGCTGCTCCTCCTGCTCCTCCTCGCACAAAGGCGGAGGTAGCGGTCCTGCTGCTGGGTTGTTGCCCTCCTACGGCCTCCTCCACGTCTCCTGATGTACTGGCCTGTCTTCTGGTAGCGCCTCCGTGCTCTAGACACTACGCTGACAGACACAGCAAACCTTCTTGCCACAGCTCGCATTGATGTGCCATCCTGGATGAGCTGCACTACCTGAGCCACTTGTGTGGGTTGTAGACTCCGTCTCATGAAACCACTAGAGTGAAAGCACCGCCAAAACATCAGCCAGGAAGCATAGGAACTGAGAAGTGGTCTGTGGTCACCACCTGCAGAACCACTCCTTTATTGGGGGGGTCTTGCTGATTGCCTATAATTTCCACCTGTTGTCTTTTCCATTTGCACAACAGCATGTGAAACTGATTGTCAGTGTTGCTTCCTAAGTGGACAGTTTGTCAGTCCAATTTCACAGGAGTGTGACTGACTTGGAGTTACATTGTGTTGTTTAAGTGTTCCCTTTATTTTTTTTGAGCAGTGTATTTATAATAATCTAAGTGTTCAGTTCGGCACGCGTCACCTGAACGCCTCTCCACAAACTGACTCGTCGTCATCGTGTGTTTGTTTTTTCCTACCGTGGTGCGTTCAGGGACGACTCTGAACCTGCTGAAGTTTCCCATCATCAACCCGACTCCATACAGGATGTTCAGGCGGCAGGAACGACTGAACGAAGCGGCGAGACAGACGGAGAGCGAGCTGTCGCAGGACGAGCTGAAGAGGCTGAAACACTTCAGCAGGCAGGGCTACTTAGTGGGTAAGACGGGGGAGACACAGGAGTGTAGAGAATCTGTGTGTTCATCTGTTATATTAATGTGTTGTCCCTGTCCTCCTCTCTTTCTGTCCTCT